GACGTTTTATCCATGATACCGGGTCGCCTGCGTCCCACCGGCGTCACCGACAGACCGGTTAAGCCTTGTAATTTCGAGAAGCGTATCCCGGCTGGCGGGATTCAAAGTGACGAACACTGCAATGGGGTCGACTGCTTGAAGTGGTAGTATGGGATGCAATCATTTCTCAACGGCTTACTCGCTGCCGCTGGGTACGTCATGACGCCCCGTAACAGTCTCGCTGGAATAACATCAGTTTTTTTCTACTGTTAGCCAAACGACTAGGATTTCCTCCGACCTACTCAGCATCGATGACCAGCCGAGATATGCCTTCCCCGTTTTGTCGGAAGACGTACGTAGTAACACGCACGGTTTTCGCAGTAGGTGTTGCCTTATGACTTTCATACGTGCCCAAGCAAGAGTTTTGCTGGTCTGAGAACTGTCATCTTCGAAATATTTTTTTCCAACCCACAGCCTTCCTGCTCGCCCACCGAGCTGCAGCCGCGTACCTAGTGTTGAGTACATAGATGCCTTTGTAATTGGGTGCCCGGTGCCCGGTGCCCTCGCACTTCCACACTTTTGAATGCTAGAACAACAGTCCTTGAGCACAATACAACAAACCCTTCGGCATAGACGCATCAGTATTGTGACATGTACCCAAAAGTTTATCTGTTGGACTTTGCCAAGATCATGATATCACTTGCGGTTGCCGCTTGCTACGTAGTTCAAGTTCTTATCGCTTGGCAGCACAGACAGTCAAATCTCAAATTGCCGGGGCATATCTCCGTGTAAATGTACGACGACAACATGCAGCACGTTTAATTACCATCGCTGTGGGCCTGACTATAAAGCTCCAACGACAATCCGGAAATTGGGAGGGAGGACGGATTATGTACTTGCTACTCTGCAGGGTTGACATCATCCTGACGTTTACCAATTGATTGCGCTCTTTTGTGTATGTTGTGTAGCGCCAAAAATATTCGGCATTGATTCCTGACTCGTAGTTACAACATGTGTGGGTGACACAGCACGAGATATTCTTGTTCTTACATTGCGCGGACAAGACTTCTTGTCAGCATGAGTCCTGCACTCCTGCCCAATGTTATGCGGAAGTTCACCCATCTGCCTTCGAACACAGTACAGGGTGATATGAAAGATTTCAACACAACTCAAGGAGGCGTAACATGTACTCGTGCCGGCCAATGCTCAGCAAACCACCTCTGTGAGCAGGAGATTGCGGGGTTGATGCATTGAACGCCTCACCGAAATGCTACATGTAATATTAATATTAACGTTTGATTGTTTCGCTCTGTAGTCAATAAAATTACACGCATGATACAAGTAATATGTAAATATCAGACCAGCTTATTTTTAGTTGTCGTGAGATTACAATGTGCCGAGACCAGAACAGGGGTACAAGGAATTCCAGTTGGAAAAGTAAGACAGCCACCTACTCATGTAGTAGTTATACGCACGAAATTCCGGTATCCTGGATGACGTGGAGATGGCTCTGCCGTTTTGCGGTCTATCGCCCAGAGCAATACCGTCGTATGTCGATTGATTAATTTGCGCACTCGTCTGTCCGCACCGAGAACATTCAAGGGCCTGGACAGCGCTGGGCTGGGTCGACTTGGCGGCCCAATAGTGGCAACAATCATGAAGTTTGTCGCAAAATATGGGTCAGCGGAGACGGAGATTCGGTAGTATCACGCAAGATAGAATTCACGCTCGGCCCTGCAACAGTTTGTTGCATAGTCTCGATAGTGTTTCCTGCATGTCATGCATACTCGGTGGACGATGTGGCTGAGTGTTGACAACAAGCATCCCAAAGCAGCAAATATCCACTTGGGAACATGCCCCCAGGATAATGCTTGAACTGACTAAACGGCCAACCATGAGCATCCAGAAGAAGGCACAAAGAATCAAGCTATACAGGATATGTGTTTGTTACACAATGTATCAATGATACACTGTCACATGCTGCATGCATGCATGCATGTATGTATGTACTGTGTGTGACAAAACTGCGGGAAGCCATAACCGTTGATCGTCTTGTTTCAACCTGGACGCAAAGTTGGTATCAACATTTGCACGCATTTGCTGCCCCGTACAGCCTAGGTAGTCGAGACAAGTCTGATCGGTTTGGTATACGTGACGTCTGGGGCTCTTGATGCCCTTTTAGTAGATGCATTGATTCGGGATTCTACCGATTGGTGCAGGCTGAATCGGTTCTGACATGAATTAAACAGACATGACTTGGGAGGCTTTTGTTGAGGTTGAGTGCCGTAGTCTGACAAAGCTCGATAAACGCATAAGGAAACACCTGACCGGCTCTAATCCTTGTGGCAAGCCGCGATGGCGTCCACTTTGAGCGATACTTGGGGGCGGAAAAAGGGTGAGTCCACAACACCATGCGCATCCTACGGTCGTCTGCTGAGGCAAAAGGGTTCGACGCGTGAAATCCTGCTGTAGGTACTCCGTACTGTAGCACATTAATAAATTGGTGGATCTAGAAAATGGAGGGCTGGGGCCGCGTCTAGTTGTATGGGCACCCCCTTTCCGGGTTTCTGGGGTGGTCGGACGTCGGAAGAGCGCTTGAGCGGCCAGGGGACCGATGTGAATTCCAAGCCGTGCCTCGTGCCTGAGCCGCTCCTGGTCCAGAACAGGAGAGCTGGAGAGATAGCATTCTCGACAGCCGAGACAAATGACAGTCGATGCACAAGTCAGTCAATACATGTATAGCGAACGCCAATGATTAGCTGCGTGATGATGCTGGGAGAAAATGATTGATCGGATCGAAAATTGACAAGAATAATACATATGCACCCTTTTGATCAGTATGGACCATTAAACGCAGGAGGCGAGGCAGGAGCGACTGGGCCATCCTTGGCTCTGGGCGCCTTGTGTGACCCCTGGAGCACCTTCACCTGGTAATCCTCCGTAAAAGGTACCTGGCGAGGACCCAGGAACTCCAGATGTCCGGAATTTGACACTTGACACCCAACACCAAGATGCGACAGGCTGTAGCTGTGGCTTGGTTTGAAAGCAAATGCTCTCTGGCACACAAAGGAAGATGGGATGGACGTCATAAGAGCGGTGGCTTTTGAATCAGTGCGTCAGATCGCCCCTGGGTTAGTACGGGTGATAATCTCGTCGTGGGACCAAGCGTCACACCCCTCGGTCTACAATCGAGTAAGTACTCGCGCGAGTGCAAGCTTCAGAACGCTGAGCAGAAACGAGGATGCAAAGGACGGCGGGGAGGTCCTCGGGATCCCGGGCTGGACTATTGGCGCGGAAGCACCTTGACTGTCAAGTAGTTACTCGGTAGGGAATTAAAGAATAAAAAAAAAAGAAAACAGATTAGTACTACGATTGACCAGACTCGGACACGCCCTGGCAACTACTGTAGGTCTAAGTACCCAGCACTTAGGTAGGTCGGTAGCTCGCCACTGCGAACAGTAGCTAAACTTGCTGCTGTAGGTACTTAAGGCACTTGGTAGGAATTCGCCCCGATATTCGGCGCCTTTTTAGAAGGCTTGGCCGTGTTGTAGTAAAGGCTGTATTACAATGTTTCTGGAAGAGTATTGGTGTTTTGCATTGCCAACTTTAGAAGTTGGAATACGGAGGGAGGCTCAGCAAGTACATACTCCGTACCCATCACATCCCAGAGATCAGACGTCAGGACCCACGGGCGGTCCTTCCCACCCCACTCTCCCTCTCTCTTTCCCTCTCCTTGCACGCAACACGTGAGCATTGGGCTGTGCCCCTGTCCCACTTGTCCGTCCTGTCCCTGGCTGGTCCTGACTTGCCCCGACTTGGCCAATTCCAGTGGCCACCAGCCCTTGCTCACTCATATCTGGCGTCCTCTGGCGTCCTCGTAAGTCCACGAGTTAACATGCTTGGCCAAGCCAGGCATGTTTAACATGGCAAGTCAAGTTTAGGCCCCCCTCTCTTCTCGTCCCCCCTCGTCACGATTCCTCGTCCCTCTGTCGTATTGTCCTTGCCAAGTCGTCATTTGTTCCTTGTGGCTAGTACTAGTAGTACTTGACTCCGTACTAGTACTAGTATTTGGCCTAATCCCAGTCCCAGTCTCCGCCATCTCTTCAACACGCCCCTCGTCTGGTGCACCGGGAATTGTCCTTCTCTTTTCTCAAACACATCACCACCGCCTCTGCTTTGCGCAGAAAGCCTCGCCGCAAGTGCATCGTGTTCGACGCTGCACTCTTCCAACGGCCCCTTCGACGGGCAGCAAACCCGCGGCTCTCAAATAGGGGCGCCGATTATCTGATAGCCACGTTTGAACTCTCTCCCCGATCGACTTGCCGACAGCAAAACTACCGAGCCTCAGAATTGATATCCCGCGCCTCCAAGTCCTTACCCAGCCAACCACATACTTTGTGGACACGGCCTGTTGACTGCATCCTCACGACCGACAAAACCTGAGAAGACGACTGCATTGCATTCTTGCTACATTATTTGCAGTCGCCCAAGCCCTGCTTCGCGCACAGCCGGCAGATACTTGCAGCTCAATACCGATTAGCCCCCAACAATTGGTTCGTCTCTTGGGTTGTGCAACGTACCACCGTCATCCGTCATCCGTCATCCGCACCCGTCGGTCGCCTGCCTTTGCGTCTAGTGCATCTTGCAGCTCGTCTCCTTCCTCCCCAAGCCGATACTACCTGCGACGTTAATTTTATTCTTCCCTGATTGAACGAGGCCGCGATTTGGCGTCCTTGTAGCGCTTCTATCTGCCAGACCCGCACCTGTCGCATACAATAAATGACCTCTTATCAAAGCCGACTGCCTTTTAGCGCACTCGACTCTGCTGTGTTCCACATAGTCTCATTCGGGTCACTTTGCGAACGCCTAGAGCGCACGACTTAAAACATATCTAGGGGCCTGGTCTGGTACCCGCGCGCTCCCGCCTAACGCGCCATTCCTGAGGAGAAAGAGGCTCATCTCGTTGTTCTTGGATCTTGTCACCAAGCTGCATCTGCCCCGCTCCGCTCATCATGCCCACCATGCTTCAAACTCCATCTCGAGCCTCAACTGCTTCGTCGTCGTCGTTTCAACCCTTGTCGCGCCAGAACACCATGTCGTCCTATGATGGATCACGCTCGGCGCGCCAGTCTAAGCGGTACTCCATGTCCGCGCTGTACATGTCTATGTCAGCAAACGAGGGTGAAATGCAAATTGAAGATGATCTAGCCAAAGGTAGGTTCGCGTTGCCGTCAATATAAGAACTCATGCTGATTTTTCTGTTTTGCAGCCCAGAAAGTACTGCGAGATTTGAAAACAAAGATATCCTCCCAGTCGAAAAAGAATTTTGTTCTTGAAAAGGATGTACGGTATCTGGATTCAAGAATCGCTCTTCTCATCCAGAACCGAATGGCTCTCGAAGAGGTGAGGACTTCCTACCGCCGGATACCTTCCGTTTCTTGTTGTCTAGTTTGAATGTACTGATTTAACCTGCTGCAGCAAAATGAAGTCGCCAGCCACCTCGAGGATGCTACCGAGGTTCAGGAAGGTGTTTTCCCAAATGATGACAAGACGCAGAAATATGGCAATCTCTTGTTTCTCTTGCAATCTGAGCCCAGGCATATCGCGCATCTGTGCAGACTGGTTTCAATGGCCGAAATAGACTCCCTGCTGCAGACAGTCATGTTCACAATTTACGGAAACCAGTACGAAAGTCGCGAAGAGCATTTGCTTCTAACCATGTTTCAGGTCAGTATTTTCATTCTTAGCCCTGAAATGTAGTCAAGGAACTGGTCAGCTAACCATTAGTACTATAATCAGTCTGTTCTGACATACCAGTTCGATAACACTCCGGATTATTCCTCGTTGCTTCGAGCCAACACACCCGTGTCTCGTATGATGACAACATATACTCGTCGTGGTCCTGGCCAGAGTTTTCTCAAAACTGTGTTAGCCGACAGGATCAACAGCCTCATTGAATTGAAAGACCTGGATCTGGAGATTAACCCCTTGAAGGTTTACGAGCGCATGCTGGAACAGATTGAAGAGGATACTGGCACCCTACCTGCAAATTTGCCCAAGGGTATCACTGGTGAACAGGCTGCCGAAAACCCCAAAGTCCAGGCCATTATCGAGCCCCGACTCACTATGCTAACGGAAATTGCCAATGGATTTTTGAGTACCATTATCGAAGGCCTGGAAGAGGCTCCTTATGGTATTCGGTGGATTTGCAAGCAAATCAGAAGCTTGACAAAGCGCAAATATCCTGATGCAAACGACCAGGTTATCTGCACTTTGATTGGCGGTTTCTTCTTCCTTAGGTTCATAAACCCAGCCATTGTTACCCCCAAATCGTACATGCTTATTGACGGAACTCCCGCCGAACGGCCGAGACGAACCCTGACCTTGATTGCGAAGATGCTTCAAAATCTTGCGAACAAGCCTTCGTACGCCAAGGAACCCTACATGGCAAAGCTTCAACCATTCATCCACCAGAACAAGGACAGAATTAACAGGTTCATGCTGGATCTTTGCGAAGTCAGTGACTTTTACGAGAGTTTGGAAATGGACAACTACGTTGCGCTGTCAAAGAAGGATCTTGAGTTGGATATTACATTGAATGAAATTTACGCCATGCACGGACTTATCGACAAACACTATCAGGAGCTCTGCAAGGATGAAAACTCACACCTGGCTGTTATTATGTCGGAACTTGGTCCATCTCCAGCTCAAGTACCGCGCAAGGAGAACAGAGTGATCAATTTGCCATTATTTAGCAGATGGGAAACTGCAATTGACGATTTAACCGCAGCGCTTGACATCACACAGGAGGAAGTGTTCTTTATGGAGGCCAAGTCCATCTTTGTGCAGGTCTTGCGGACCATTCCACAAAGCAGTGCTGTGTTGCGACGGCCATTGCGTTTGGAGCGGGTGGCCGATGCTGCAGCAACGAGCCGTAATGATGCTGTCATGGTTCGCAAAGGCATTAGAGCCATGGAGTTGCTTTCGCAGCTACAGGAACTGGGCGTTATCGACAAGAGCGACCAATTCGATCTATTGCGAGACGAAGTCGAGCAGGAATTGCAGCATCTAGGCTCACTCAAAGAAGGCGTCATTGCTGAGTCGGCGAAGCTAGAAGAGGTATACAAGACGATTCGTGACCACAACACATATTTGGTGGGCCAACTGGAAACATATAAGAGCTATTTGCACAATGTGCGTTCTCAGAGCGAGGGCACAAAGCGAAAGCAGCAGAAGCAGCAGGTGTTGGGACCCTACAAATTCACGCATCAGCAGCTTGAGAGGGAGGGAGTGATTCAGAAGAGTAATGTTCCGGATAACAGACGGGCCAACATCTACTTCAACTTCACTAGCCCTTTACCAGGTACATTTGTTATTTCGCTCCACTATAAAGGTAAGACATTTGTGATATCAAACTCTGAGGAAGACCCAATGTGCTAATATGGTCTTGCGTAGGTCGCAACCGGGGTCTTTTGGAACTCGACCTCAAGCTGGACGATTTGCTTGAGATGCAAAAGGATAACCAGGATGAGCTCGATCTGGAGTATGTGCAGTTCAACGTACCCAAGGTGCTTGCCCTGCTCAACAAGCGATTTGCTCGAAAGAAGGGGTGGTAAGGTTACGCCGAGCCTCGTATATTTCACCAATGTACAACGACTATATCGAAAAGGGCTGTTTGGCGTTTGGGAAAGCACTGATACCATGGAAGTTTCGTTTCTTTTCCTTCATTTTTACATTCGTACAGCCAGTTGGGAGGAACCCCCCCCCCCTTTTGTGTCTTTTGCTCCCCTTGGTTCTCTTTCCCGTTTTGCTTGTTGTTCGACGGCCGACGTTAGTATTCCTTTCCCGCTTCCGTATTGCGGCGAGACATATAGCGCTACATTTGCACACTCAGATACTAGGTAATAATTTGGGGAGGATATTTGATATTCTGCTTCGGCCGGTCCGAGGAGACTCTTTTTTTTTTTTTTTTTTTTTTTCGTTGGAACAGTTTCACTGAACGGCTCTGGTGGCTTATTTGATATCTGACGGGGGCTTTTGGACCGAGTCGGGAGGATTTACCTTTTGGATGAATTAGTATTGATAAATGAGTAATACATGTATCCTGTCGTGTGATGACATGAACGAGGGCCTGGTGAATCCGTGCGTGTGCGTGTGCATGTGGCTGGTCAAAGTGAGGCGACGCTGAGTTTGCTTCTAGGACCGTGGAGAGCAGGCCATCTCGTCAAGCTTCGTTCCTCAAGGCTTCGATCTCGTAGCAGATGGGTTCGCGTTGTCCCCCAAACGCGGTTTAGTCTCCCACTTTTGACGCCACGACAGCCTCGCTTTCCCAAAGTTGAGCAGGGTGAAACGTGGCATGGCCGATAAGAAGGCCCAATACGTATTAATTAAGCCGCAGACAAACTCGGCGCCTAGCGGGTGCCACCTCCACGTGCTTATGCGCTGCCATACGGATGTCCTCGCTGGGTAACGTCGGTTTGTGGTGGGCGAGGCGCGACGGTGACGTCACTGTAGGTGTGTTGGGCAGGGCTGACGGTTCATGCAAGTTGTTACCGACGTCCTGGGAGGGTGACCGAGCGATTTAGTGCTGACTCTCTGAGGACAGGAGTCAATGAATGAATGTCCTTGGTTCAGCCGCATCATGGCCATGTCACGCACGCCGTGTAAGTGAGGAGTAGGCCAGGTCCCAAGCCGAGGCCGAGGCTGCAAATTGCTCAATGCTCTGCCCACGTTGGAATTTAGAAATAGTGTTCCGTGTCCTGCTGAGGCGTCCTTGCCCATTATCCCTTCATAATTCACAAAGCACTGGACTTCGAGCCGTGTCAGTAGTGTAGATTGAACCCTGTGTGGCACATGGCATCTCAACTCAACGTCGAGGAGCTCATCGGCGCCGCAGAACACCACCACGAACAATATCTCCAAACACTGCGCAGCATCCAGAATGCCGTTGGCCAGCGAACTCGCGAGCGTGCAGACAGTCCTCCGCTTCGCGCCCTCTCCCACCCAACCTTTTTCAGTCCCGAGCCTCACACGCCCAATGCTCACCTCCTCAGCCGCCTCCAGCGGACGCGAACCTCGACGCTGGAAACCACAGCAGAGCGGCCGTCGTTTTATCCGTCTCCCAAGCCCGTAGCGCGCTCGACAATTTCTCATGATTCAGAATTCATCCCCGACGAGGAGCTGTCCTTCATCCCGCTGCTTGACGCGCCCTCTGCCGGCGCTCGCCCTGCGGAAGAGCTGGCACCTCCGCCCGCGGATATCACTTCGAGAACACAGAAGCCTCTTCTCCCGCTGAGCTTCTCCGACGACATGCTCATGGGGCATCTCAGGGAGACAGAGTTTGACGGGCCCACAGCCACGGTACTGGAAGAAGTCGTTCGTCGGCGGCCGGACATGGACCTCGCCGTGCCGTTTCGTGATTTTGCGGCCTTTGAGCGCGAGAGCTATGTGAGCACGACGTTTGAAGTTTACGAAGTCACGGCAGACGCAGAAGCCAAGAAGATCAGCGTTGATATTGATGTACAAGCGGATGTGAAGTACGGCGGAGAAGGCGTGCCGTACCAGAGTCCAGATGGCATCGTGGATGCGCCGACGGTATGGGAGGCCATCAAGGACGTCAATTCCGACGGGGAGGCAGTGGGAAGAATCACGTATGTTCCTTGTACGCGCCCTTCAGGCTCCAGTGTTGTTGACGTACCCGATGAATAGCATCGTCCAAGAGCCAACGCCGCTCATCCTCGCCGCCCTCCATCTCACAATGACGCCGCACTTCGACATGGGCGAGCTTCTCACCCATCTCCTCTCTGAGGCGCCAAACCGCGGACGCACAAATGCCATCATGCACCGAGCCTTCGAACGAACCTCGTCCGTCTCGCCGTACCCCCCGTCACCTTTGATCCCCCCAGCCCTCGACACCCGCCATCAACCCGCCTCGTCGTACGCAAACGTCCGTCAGCGGTCATTCTTCTTCGTCTTCAAGTACTACACCTCTGTGGCAGAGGGCCTCGAGCCCGCCCCCTGGCAGAGGTTCGACAAACGGCCCTCTGACAAGCGGCTCGGCGACCACATCGACATTGCCGAGTGCAGCTCCGTGCTCGCCCTCTCGCTCGGCGGCGAGCCCACAAAGCCGCTGCGCATGAGGCCTCGCCGGGAAAGGGCCAGAGAGGGATTCCTCTTCGACACCTTTGGCCCGTGGCAGCTGTTGAGTATCCAGAGCTTTCCCGACGACCAGCACACTGTTCGCGGCGAAGACTTTCAGAAAAAGAGCTTTTACAACGGCCCCTATGCGTTTCTGGACCTCCTAACTGCCGAGTATCGTGACGCAGGGAGACGAAATCAGATTCTCCACGAGAAAATCACAAAACTCATTACGCCCCCTGTCAGTCTCAGTCCTCAGCCTCTTCCCCCCC